TTTAACTAACTATATCTGTTTGTTTGTTTACTTTTCAATTTACTAATGATTTGCAGATGTACGGGAAAGAGTTTTTTACTAAGTAATCTCTTACAAAATTTTTAGTTTTTATAATATAAATTATTTTATAACTATTTTTTATTTTTTTATACTATAGCTATTTTTTATTTTTTATACCTACTGTATTTTTAAATTTTTTTTAAATAAATTTATAAATTTTAATAAATAAAAAATAATCTATAAAAAAATAAGATAAAATTTTTTATAATAAAATAAAGAAAGACATTTACAATAGGCTGTCCACCTTATATTAAATCTGGTTACTTGACTGCTAACTTTTGCAAATTGTAACCCCGATAGATTTCTAGTTCTTTAAAAATTTAAAAAAAATAATAGAATAAAGAAGAATGTTCACAATAGACCATCCATCATATATCAAGTCTGGTTACTTAACTGATAACTTTTACAAATTGTAACCCTGATGAGTTTCCAGTTCTTTATACTATTAATAAAAAAGAAATCTATAGCTAAATTTATTTATAAGAAAAAAATCTAATTAAAAATTTCTCTATAAACAATATTCTTCGTATAAAGATTATTCTCATCATCAGATTTCAAATTAATCAACAAAATTTTAATACTTTTACATAAAGTTACTCTAGAAAGAGCTACATAGAGTTGGCTATGTGAAAAAACTGGTTGAAGTAAATATAAACTAACTAAAGGAATTGTTTAACCTTGGCCTTTATTAATAGTTAAAGTATAGGCCAAATGAACAGGAAACTGTTTATGGACTAAAGTAAAAGAATAAACAGAATCAGTTGGAGATAAAATCATTTTTGAAAGAAAAACTCTTTTTCTAAGAAATGATTCTGTAAGAATTTTACAACCTAAAACATGATTATGAAATTCTTTTACAATAAGTCTAGTTCCATTACATAAACCTTCAGAAGGATTTAAATTTCTTAAAAGAATTATAGGTACTTCAGCTTTAAGAATAAGCTTATGTAGTAGTAATCTACTTGGAGTAAGAGTATTAAGAAATTCAATAGGATATAAACTCTCATAAACTGAATTATTATCCTCAACTGAATCAGTAAACAAATATGTTTGACCTTCTTCTGGAACTAACTCAAGTATTTGATGATTTATTAATTCTACATCATTATTTTTAGATATCAAAATAGCTCTTTCAATAATATAATTTATATTATTGTAATTATTAGAAATATTTAGAAATATTTCTGATATTAAATTAGTAACTGTAGTGCTATTTATAATTATTGTTTGTGGCACTTTAATATAATCTCCTCCAATTGTTGGTTCTCTACTTTCACCAATTCTTAATAAAAAGTCTACAAAACCTTGTTGTAATAAATCTTGTAAAACTCTTATAAGCTTTTTTCAAACTTGAATTAACAACTTGAGTTCTGGAACCTCAAGGAATTACAGGTAATATTTGATGAAAAACACCACCAAATACTGCAATTTTTTCACCAAAAGGCTTATCATGATTGCCTATTATATCTTTAAATATTTGATTAATAGCTTTAAAAGCTAACTTGTTAATCATGAGAGCTTTATTCCAAAGTATAATTTTAGCATATCTAATTAAAACCGCTAATTCAGATTGTTTTGAAATATTACAGGTTGGAGAATCTATATATTTTAAAAGAATCTTGAATCTTGAGTAAGCAGTTCTACTACCAACTATTAACAAAGCTACAATACCAGAAGAAGCAACAGCTAATGCAATATATCCTTTGCTTCAAATATATGCTAACAATATATTGTATAGATAGGTTTTGCCAGTTCCACCAGGCCTATTAATGAAAAATATTTTTTGACTTCTATTATTAAAAACAGAGATAATAATTGTATCAAAAATTAATCTTTGTTCAAATTTTAAAGTATTAATTTTTGATAGATAAGTATCAAAATAACTCTGTTTATAATTTGTTTCTTCAAAAAATAACTGATTTGTTGCTCTTTGTTAAGATTGTTCCAAAAAAGCCAAATCAGGAATTGGAAGTTCAGGAAAATCTAAAAGTGATTTTCTATTTTGAAATAAATATTTTTTAAGATCCAAAAGAACTTGAGTAACTATTCTTGGATCATTATAATCTAAAGCTACATGTTTAGAATTTGGATTATATACAAAATCTTCAGATAAAGCAGGTAAATATGTATTCCAAAGTTCTAAAATATTAGTTGGCTTGCAATAGATTAAAATTGTTGCAAATAATTGTCTTAGTTGTTTAGGCATTTGATAAAGTGATGCCTCTTTAAAACACAAATCCTATTCTTAATCATTTTCTATTAAACCAAATTGAATTGCTGCTATTTTAAAAGTGGGATATTCAATATTATTAACAGTTCTTAAATCTTTAAAAGATGTTGGGCCTTTAACATGTGTTAAAAGTAATCTAAGGCAATAACTTTTCTTATTTCTTGGATTAACTATATACATTCTAACAATAGTTTTATTACCTCTTTGCTTTCTTGGTTTCTATTGACCATTGCTCCAAGTAAAATGCTTTGGAAAATCAGTATATAAAAGATTACTTGCAAGTAGATAAGTTAAACAAATTTTAAAAAATTTTGTCAACTTAGTTTCTAAATTTTTATCCAAAATATCAGATAAGCTTGTTGTATTATTATATAATACTATCTGTTGTTTTTCTAAATAAACAGGTAATCTTTCAATATGATGAGATTTTTTTTGCAAATTAAAATTGAATAATCTCCAGCATGCTTCTAAAGTAGAAATATATCTTGCATTCAAATAATTTTGAATCTCATTAGAATTATACCAATTATTTTGATTATTAGAATTATTTTCAACTGAAATAATAGCTCTATCTGAACCTTTGTAAACATATTTATAAAGATATTTTACAGATTTAATGCTAGAACATATCTTTATATTGATATAACAATTATATTTTAAACAAAGGTATAGATTATATGGAACTACCCATCTATTATTAAGCTCTTTACCAGATTTTTTAACTTTATAAGTATCTTATTTACAATAAACAGGATAACTATTTTTATTCATAATAGTTATATTAAAGAAATCATGTTGACAATGCTTACTACAAGTACTATCTTTCATATATAGAAAAGATGGTTTTAAAAGTCCACAAGGACTATATAACATATGTTAAGTAACAATTTTATAAAGCTGAGGTTGTGTAGTTGGATTTGGAATCTTAGCAGATATTAAATTGTCAAAATCATCAGAAGTTTGTGATTTATCTTCTAGAATAAGTATTATAAGTATATATGCATATAGTAATCCTCATTTTTGAAATTCAATTACTTAAATATGAGCTACATTGCATCCTAAAATACTTTTTTTATATAAATTAGTGGTGATTTCTTTTAATTTTAATTTAAAGACTCTTGAAATAAGATTTGGTCTATCATTAGATTTTTGGCCATATAAAAGTTTTCTGGTAATTTCAGGCCAAGTAGGATTACAAGTAACAGTTATAAAAAGATCTGGTTTACCAAATTCTCTTACAGTAGCCATAACATCTTAATATAACTATTGCATATATCATTTTGAACCTGTGAATGATGAAGGTAAAATAACTTTTCTTCCAATAATTGAAAGATTAACTTCATCATTATTAACAATATTTTCTAATCCTTTATAAAATTCAGCTCTTAGATGTGTTTGATTTTTTCTATATCATTTTAAGCTATTTTGCTCATATTTTGCATATTAATTAACAATATATTGTTAAAATAAATGTCTAGCAAGATGCAAAATACTATTAGGATCTCTTATTTATAATCTATAACATGCAAATCTCTAATAGTTACATATTTTTGCTAAGTCTAAGAACTATTAGAACTATTAGGATTTAATAATAAAGATTCTTCTAATTCATTAGTATTATAATCTAAATTAGCATTTCTAACAGTATGCAAAATATCAAGATGCTATCCAAATTCACCTCTTGGAAAAAGAAGTGGGTACTGTAATGGATCATAAGCACCATGTAATTCTGATATATGTTGCAAATAACCCTGATTTGTAGTAAGAATAATATCTCTACTAGAGTTAATATCATCATCATTATTAATTATAGCTGCAATTTTTGAAGCAGTAGGTATATTATAAATTCACATATCTTGACCATATATGGAAGAAATTTTTAATCTCAAATAAAAATTAACTTGAGCTTGTTGTCTAGCAATTTAAAAAATTTGGACAAAAGAATTAATATGATTAAGTTCAGTTTGAAGAGATCTCATTATATTTAAATTTAAATTTGGTGTAATTTGATTTCTTATTTCAAACTGAGTATCAAAATCACTATCATAAAAATAAATTTGAGAAAATCTTGGCAATTCAAATACTTGTCTTAAAGAACCTATATTATGATATAAAGCTCCTTGAATTTTATAAATCTAAGGCTTATCTACTGCTAATATACTTTTATCTTAAATTACATCTAAAGATGTAAAAGCAAAAGCAAAATTATATAATCTTATTTTTTGAACATATCTCTCACCAGTATTAATATTTGATTCAGTTAATAACTATAATATAGCTGGTGGAGGTGGTTCAAGCAATATTAATTGAATCTTTTTATTATTACAACAAAATTCTAAAGTTTCATTTTTCTATTTTAGAGCTTGACAATGAATACATCTAATATTTATTTTGTTAAGCTTATACTGCCATTCTAAAATATCAAAATCATTCTCTAATTCTAAAGTAAAATTATCTAAACTACATCTTGCAATATTTTTAAATTGTATTGCTTGTTGAATTATATTTGCTACTCTATAATATTGATGTTGAATTCTATCTATTTCTCTTATTTGATTTTGCCAATTTGTTGTTAATTGAATTAAAAAATAAAAACTCTTCCTGTAGATCACTTTATCAAAATAAGAACAAGAAGAAAAAACTTTTTTACAAGTTTATTTCAAAAACTTACTAAGTAAACAGTTATTCGGCTCTTAAGTAAAGTTACTCAGGCTCTCTAGTTGTACTTAAAAGAGGCGCATTTTCTTTAAAAAGCTCCTTCTCTATTAAGTAAATAGCAATAAACTTGTCAAAAGACAAAAAACCAGTTTTTTTATCCTTCTGCGAAAGCAGCTATAAGGATAGCCAACATTTAAACAGCCCTGCCTCAAGCACTACCAACCTGCTATACAAAAACACCAAGAACCACCACAACACCCAAATTATTAAACCTCAGCCCCCCAGCAAAAATATGACCTCTAAAAGCTCTACTTTCTTCTTTAGCTATTTTTCTCCATCCCACAAGCTTGTACAACCTAGTAACAATCTACCTGGCACTACATCACCAACCTCAGAAACAGAACACACAAAAAATTTCATCAAAATTACTATTAAAAACTGGTCCAAACTCAGCTTTACAGTCAGTGTCTCCATTCCAGAACATGCCAATGACTTTCTCTTCTATATCAATATTACCAAATCAGGAAGAATCCAAATTTGGCAAACTACCCTCCCCAATGGATTTGCAAACATGAAGATAATACCCAATCAGTCCTTTTCGACCTCATGATACAGAAAAACAACATTGTTAACATTAGCGCCAAACTTTCCAAATCAATCTATACTTGTAACCTTAATACAACTATACAGGTCTACGAAAGTAGTATGAAACCATACACCAAGGCTAAAAGTATCTCCGACCTGCCCAGAATCCCATACAACTCTATTATACAAATCAAATCTGACAATGAGTTCAACAAAAGCAACAATGAACACAACACACACCCTCTAGCCCTCAAGGAACTGGTACCACTATACGATCTAGCTAGTAACCAAACAAACACAAGCATAGCCACAAACAGTAATGCAGACAAAGACACAAATCTCCACCCAACTATCACCACATCCTCAACCAATACCGCCAGTAATACTATCACCACTACCCACTCTACACCCAGACCTAGCACATCTCCAGGCCAAATTATCACCCAATGCTAGTATTAATCGTAAAAGAGCTTGAAATATACTACCATTAATTACAAACTCCAACAAGGCTGCCAAAGTACTTCCTGGTAGCTTTTCTACCACCTCCAGACCCCCTACAAACAACCAGGCTTCTACAACCAAATTATCATATAGCCAAGTCACCAAAACCAACCTCAAATTACTGGTTACTAATACCCCTGATAATATAGAATAGGCCACAATCATACATAGCAGAATTTCTACACCCTCCAACACCCCTTTCAATACAGAAACCTGGATATATAACGCTATTTCAACCACACTTACTACCCTAGGAGGCATATACAAACTCATCTGCTACAAGCTAACTACTATACCTACTCAATTTAAATTGCCAGAAGCAATCTTTCTAAAATTTGTACACCTTGACACCAGATTCTTTACAACATTTACCCTCAACCCCAAAACCACACCCGCACACCAAAAAGAATATACCAACCTCTTTAACAGAGCCCTTACAGTATATAAAAAAGATAATAAAATTATACTCACCAACACTACAACCCGCAACACTATCTACACAATACTCAAGAGGATGCTCATCTCACAATACATCTCTAACCTCAACTTTGCAAGCATCTCACCAAGGCAAATATACAGAGTAATTCAGTATGCCAGAAGCTTCTTACAAATCAAAAACCCAGATGAACAGACCCTCAAAGAAATTAAAACCCAAATCAATAATGTACTAGAAAGCAAACTAATGCCACTTCCAGACATGCCTGACCAAATCCCTACAGAAATCCAAAATATTCTCCTGTTTAAGCTTCCAATTACATAACGGTCACATACAAAAGCAATAGTCAATGCTCTGAGAAGAATCTTCAAATTTCTAGAGTTACCAGCAACCTACTTCGCTAAACTTCCTCTTCTACCTTTACACTACAGTACTCTCACTGCTAGCTTTTGCTAGCTATTTCTGATCTCACATCGATTCTTTCTTCAGCACCTAGCAGTATATAAAAGAAAATAAGCAGACTACTACACAGTAATCAAAATCTCTGATACCTACTTCAAACTCCCACTCTCTAAGAAGCTCCTCTCTTCAACTTACCAAGAACTCAACCCCGTAGTTCGAAAATACTTTCTATTCAACCCAGCTACCTCTATGATTCCTCTCACAGATGTTATCACTATGCTTAGAGAACACTATACCTTCAAACTCTTACCAAATGATTTCTTTGTTATTAAAACTCTATTGTCCAAAGACATTAGCAAAATCAAAACTACTACAAAATTCACTTTTCCTATTA